TGGAAGCCGAATGTCCGACAGGGCTTCTGTGGCTTCTGATTGGCTACAGGAGCTTCCTGCAGCCAATCAGAAGCTGCGCTTTGGTTTCCAAATGTTTTGGAAGTCAAACGGACTTCCGGAATGGATTCTGTTTGACTTCCGAGGTACAGCGCCCCACGTAGCATCTCTGTTTGTTAGAAACACGGCTTCATGTGCTTCTGGATATTCTCATGGGGCAGAAATGAACCGGGCCATAGTGGCTCCCAATATTCATAGGCCAGCTCTACTATTGGGCAGAGATTTGGGTGTGTGTGTCATGATAAAACAGCAGCAGTTGGCTAATCCTTTAATTTGTTGTCTTTTTACTGTCAAGAGTGACATATTTGTGGGATTTTCTGCCCCAAGGCCGAAATAAATGGGCTTAGATACCATGCAGTCTGATTTGGGGGAATGGGGTGGCCTTTGCTGCTCTACTTCATCCCGCAAAATATCTCGGATTGTCACTGGGGAAGCTATATTATATGGAGAAGGGAGGCAGCTGGATGCGTGGTTGACTTGCATTTCCTTTTAGCTGGCAAATCTTTCTAACTCCAGAGCCAGCAGCAGGTTTGAGTGGGCCCTCTCCTATGTCAGGTTTAAAGGTAAAGGTAAAGGGACTCCTGACTGTTAAGTCCAGTCGGGGACGACTCTGAGGTTGCGGCGCTCATCTCGCTTTACTGGCCGAGTGAGCCGCCATTTGCCCGCAGACAGTTTTTCCGGGTCATGTGGCCAGCATGACTAAGCCACTTCTGGCGAACCAGAGCAGCGCACACAAATGCCATTTATCTTCCCGCCAGAGTGGTACCTATTTATCTACTTGCACTTTGATGTGCTTTTGAATTGCTAGGTTGGCAGGAGCAGGGACTGAGCAACGGGAGCTCACCCCGTCGCGGGGATTCGAACCGCTGACCTTCTTAACGGCAAGCCCTAGGCTCTGTGGTTTAGACCACAGCGCCAGCCTCTTGTGGCAAAAGTGATGGAGTCCGTTTAAATTTCCCACAATGCCCTGGAACAATGCAATGTGAAGGGCATTGTGGGAAACGAAGATGGCCACCCATTCTGATGCTGCTAGGTAAGCCCATGGCAGGTATCCCCATTGGAGGGCTCCGTTGTTGTGTTGGGACACTGCCATCTGCCTGAGGGTGTTGAGTGCTGATGCTGGGCATGCACAGTTTAATTTCTGCACATCAGGCTATTGCTGAAGGCATTTTCCTCAATTATTCCAGCATGTAGTGTTTTATAAAGGTAAAAGGTAAAGGGACCCCTGACCATTAGGTCCAGTCGTGGCCGACTCTGGGGTTGCGGCGCTCATCTCGCTTTATTGGCCGAGGAAGCCAGTGTACAGCTTCCAGGTCATGTGGCCAGCATGACTAAGCCACTTCGGGCAAACCAGAGCAGCGCACGGAAACACCATTTACCTTCCCGCCGGAGCAGTACCTATTTATCTACTTGCACCTTGACGTGCTTTCAAACTGCTAGGTTGGCAGGAGCAGGGACCGAGCAACGGCAGCTCACCCCGTCGTGGGAATTTGAACCGCCAACTTTCTGATCAGCAAGTCCTAGGCTCTGTGGTTTAACCCACAGCGCCACCCGCGTCCCTGTAGTGTTTCATACTAGAATGTAAACATTCCAGAATCTTAGGTTCCTTTACAGGTGTTGCTTCCAGGTGCACTGCTAGCAGGAATTTAGCCTTCAAAACAGGAAATACCTCATTGGAAAGACGTAATTCCAACATTGGTTGTTCAGAGCACCATTTGGCAAGATGGGAGCTGTAGCTCATACGTTAGTCCTGCTTGCAACCGGAACGTGGATTCCCCTTGGAAAGTGTGGGCTTCTCCAGCTCATAGTGCCAATCACCTGCCAACTCATTCATGTGGAAGAACCCTAAAAAAGGCGGCTGAGTAGGAGCGTAAGAGAGATCAGCAGTGTGAATGTGGCTTTCTCATATTCTTATTTTTAAAGAGGTTCACTGCAGCATCAAATGATGTTTGCAGCCCAATAAAGTCGTGAGGTTAGTGGGAAATTGGCATTGAAAAATGCTCCTACAAACAGCAAAAGGGGGGTTAGGTAGGGAGCTTCTGGGCTGTTCTCAGCGGAAGAATCAAAATAATTCCAAGGATAGGTTTTAAATCAACATTTCGGAGGTGACAAAAATGGGACCATATACTGCCACCTAGTGGGCTCTTTCATGAACTAATCTAAAGTCACCAAGACGTTGCCTTCTGAAATCCCCCCTTATGTATCCAGTGGGTTGGTTGCTGCTTAAGAAGGGCAGTCATTTTGGCAGGAGAAGAAGACAGGTGTTTTTAAAAAGAGGCTAGGAGTGAATTGGAGTCAGGCGCAGGTGAAGCAGCTCATCAAAGAAGAAACACAATCCAAACCTTTAATCGTTTCTTTATTTCTCCTGGAGAGAAACTTGAAGACAGTGCTGGCCATGTGCAGACTCATCTGGCTTTTGCCTCTGGTATACAGCATTTCAGGTTGTTGTATAATTTCAAAAACCTGCAAACCCAATTTGATCAGGAGCAAAATAAATGCATGTGTACACCATGGGGAGAAAAGCATCTCTCAAGCCATCTTCAACTGTTGCAGGTTCACAGATTCAAATACACTCAGCAGGATATTTTGAAAGTTGGATTTCATAGAATCATAGAATCTTAGAGTTGGAAGAATGCCAAGTCTAACCCACTTGCAATGCAGGAATCTCAGCTCAAGCATCCATGACAGATGGTCATACAACCTCTGCTTAAAAACCTCCAAGGAAAGAGAGTCCACAGCCTCTTGTGGGCATCTGTTCCACTGCCGAACAGCTCTTACTGTCAGAAAGTTTTTCCGAATTTTTAGTCGGAATCTCCTTTCTTGTAACTTGAAGCCACTGGTTCGGGTCCTACCCTCCAGAGCAGGAAGAAGAAGAAGAAGAAGAAGAAGAAGAAGAAGAAGAAGAAGAAGAAGAAGAGTTTGGATTTGATATCCCGCTTTATCACTACCCGAAGGAGTCTCAAAGCAGCTAACATTCTCCTTTCCCTTCCTCCCCCACAACAGACACTCTGTGAGGTGAGTGGGGCTGAGAGACTTCAAAGAAGTGTGACAAGCCCAAGGTCACTCAGCAGCTACATGTGGAGGAGCGGAGATGCGAACCCGGTTCCCCAGATTACGAGTCTACGGCTCTTAACCACTACACCACACTGGCTCTCTGTGAAGGAAATAAGCAGCTATCCTATCTTTAAATGACATCTGAAGGCAGCCCTGTTTAGGGAAGTTTTTAATATTTAATGCTGTATTGTTTCTAACACTCGATTGGAAGCCGCCCAGAGTGGCTGGGGAAACTCAGCCAGATGGGCGGGGAATAAATAAATAAATAAATAAATAAATAAATAAATAAATATTATTATTCCTGTTCAGAAACAATGCCTCAACTGCATTCCCTCCTCTCAAAGTCTTTAAATTCTCTTATATCACATTATATCCAAGCCCCACTGTTGGTATTCTGTCTACTCACTCACAAGGCCCATCCCACTATGACTGGCAGATTAAAGCAAATATACACTTGTGGTTTTTTTTAGGATGAAAGTAATGTCCCATATCCAGCTAACTGGAAGCCAGAGCAAGGACTCCTGATGGTGCAATGGATCGTTTCACCATTTGTACCCCCATATATTCTCTCTGCCTCACCCAAATCTGCTCTGGAGGGTCAGGAGAACCTGACAGGGAAGGAGAGGGAGATCATTCCATCTGGAAAGTGGAAATGTTTGCCCTGGCAGAATGATCAGAAGAGGGTGATACTGAATTCCTCCCAATACGTCATAAGGTCCAATTTTTGGAGACCCAAAACTGGGGCAAGAGTCTTCTGGGACATGTTCCTAGGCAAGTCATGTGACCCATGCCTCACTCTCACCCCCCCAAAACCCCCCACTTTTTTGAGAGGGGAGGAGAGTGCAGCAAGAGAGATCGTGGCACCCAAAATTGCTGCAGCGATCTCATGCAAAAAAATGGGATGTCCCTTTCCCCCAGGGCACTTAGAGGTATGTGTTGGGAAACTGTGTACGTGCAGCTACTCACACAGAGTCAGTTAAGGTTTGGCAGCCAGCCAGAAGGCAATCTGAAGGAGTAAGTCTGCCTGGTGATAACAGAGGCATGGAGACAGCTCCCTGATTGGTCAAGTTCTCTCAAGGGAGTGATAATTAATGGCCTACTAACTGTTAGTTCAGCGCTGGGAGTTCAGTGATTCAGTGTGTCAGTGTAGGAGTTGTGAGTCGTGTCAGAGAGAACTAGCATAAGATCCATGTTCTGTTCCTGTAAATAGTCCACTGTTTATAATAAACACCTAACTACAAGTTCCTGGTTCCTGCTTCATCTATCCTGTTTGCAGCCAAGTCGCCAATTGCTTCCATGGATTCTGTGTGTACTCTGCTAGGTCTGGCTAAGGTCCTGCAACTAGTCAGAAAGTTGCGAAACACCAAATAGGTTTTGCCAATAGTATGATCTGTGAATATGTACGGGAGAACCCACCTTTTTGCTCCCTACTGTCATCACAATCTTTTGGTCTCCTTCCTGGGAAGAGTCACATGAATGGCCTTAGCCTATCAGAGAGCGCACAGTGAGCGTGATGATTGCACAATGCTTCGTAAAATCAATGCTGGCTCCATTCTGAATACGTGAACATTTTGACACCCCCATCAATCCCCTTCCATAGCCAAAAAAGTGCTTTTTTCCACTGCCAAAAAAGTTTTCACAAAAGTGCTGCCCCCCCATGCTCCTTTCCCTTTTGGCTCAGACCTTTTCCATCTAACCTACCACTTGGGAACGGCAGAGAAACTGCACTCTCGAAATTGCCAGGAGAAGCTAACAGCCTCTCTCATTTATATCCAATTCAGCAGGGCTTGAAATCTCTTCTGCGAAATTGACTAGGAACAAAACTGAAACTGACAAGTCGATTGTCAAAGCAAAACACCATGTCTGAAGGGGAAAGTTTTTAAAATCCCTTCTGTTTTAATCATCCTCGGGTGCATAGATCTTTCGCTGTGTCCATTCGCAGGCATTTATAAAGTGCTTATTACTGTAGCATCTTAACGCTGATTAGGTTCCAGGCAGGACAGGGCATTTATTTTGTTTTCAATATGATTGTTAAACTGTCAACATGGCTATAATAGCTCCTGGTGGAGGCAGAGAGCCAGGTCTGGGCTTCCTGAGTTATGCTGATGCTGATTCAGACACACTTCATTGATTTTGGGGAAGGCACTCCAGACTGACAATGATAATGGAAGAGCACGCAATCTGGCCGGGACTTCAAATGCCTATGGTTCTGCAGTCAATGTTTCTCTACAAAGCACTAGATAGAGATTTAGAAGTTTTCAGTGTCGGTTAGATTCTCCCAAAGTAAAGAGCTGGGACAGAGTAAGTGGGCATGAGTGCAAGGAGGCTGATTAAGCCATACCTTCCAAAAGAGAAGGTGGCACTGTGGTCTAAACCACTGAGCCTCTTGGGCTTGCTGACGGGAAGGTCGGCGGTTCGAATCCGTGTGACGCAGTGAGCTCCCAGTGCTCTGTCCCAGCTCCTGCCAACCTAGCAGTTTGAAAGCACACCAGTGCAAGTAGATAAATAGGTACCACTGCAGCGGGAAGGTAAATGGTGTTTCCGTGCACTCTGGTTTCACCACAATGTCCCATTGTGCCAGAAGCTACTGTTAGTTCCATCATGAGATGTACACCAGCTTCTAATCACAGATACCAGCAGCCTTCAAGCAAGCAAACTTGCCTTATTATTGCTCCATAGTATCCCACTGCCAGAGGATTGCCTCATTCCATTCACCAGTTTGCCTCCTCCAAGTGAAAGAAACCTGGGCAGTGCTGAATGTCACATCCACTGCCAGGTGTGTCCTGCTGGAAATAGAAAAGGGCTTTCCCCTTGGCCTGCCTTTATATTCACTCAGTTGCCAAGTGCTTTTGTGACATCACAAGAAACCCACAGCCAATGGCAACAGCTGGGGAGGCATCATCTTCACTGCTTTGAGCTTCACAGTGGCGGGTGGACCGATCAGTGATTGTGTGCTTCTTTATTCAGGACAAGGGTGGAGCTGTGGTCTAAACCACTGAGCCTCTTGGGCTTGCCGATCAGAAGGTTGGCAGTTCGAATCCCCACTATGGAGTGAGCCCCCGTTGCTCTGTCCCAGCTCCTGCCAACCTAGCAGTTTGAAAGCACGCCAGTGCAAGTAGATAAATAGGTACTGCTACGATGGGAAGGTAAACGGCATTTTTGTGTGCTCTGGTTTCCACCACGGTGTCCCGTTGTGCCAGAAGCGGTTTAGTCTAATCTAAGTTTGGCTTCATTGAGGGGCAGTATTTCAATTTGAGTAGGAAAATGAGAGTTCCCTAAAACATTTTTTAGGGGGGGGGGAGCACTGGGCAGCAGACAAAAGCATTCCTCTTTACCCAGGCCTATGGCCATTAAATAATCTATGACCTGTTAAAGCTGTGGGACGGAGGGGAGGGACTGTTATCATCATTATATTATGACTATGCTGTCTGTCATTGTGCTTTTTATTATGTTTTTATCATTGATGCTCCATAAAATATGTTCTTAATGCTCTATACCACCCTGGGAGCTTTCGATAAAGGACAGCATATAAATTGAAATTATTATTATTACTATTATTACTATTATGATTGTTTGCTAACATAGCCATTGTTCAAAACCCACGCTTCCTTTAACTTTGCAATGCACTTCTCCACTCAAGCAATGTGTACAAAAATGCATACATTAGGGGAAAGTGCGTGCAAATATTAGTGTGCCTTTATTAGTGGAAATAACATTAAAAAGGGCATTATAGTAGGGGAAATTGCTTGCAAAAAGGTGTATATCAGGCAAAAGTGCATATGAAACGTGTACATTAGGAGAGGTTCACACTAAGCTGCTGCTGAACATTCACGAGGGCCTTTAAAAATAATCATAATCATCAACTGATGTGGGAATGTAGAGAACACAGCTGGAAAAACGAGAGGAATCAAAATGGACAGATTTGCCCATTCCTAATGAGGACACTGGTCCCATCACCTCCTGGCAAATAGAAGGGGAAGAAATGGAGGTAGTGAGAGATTTTACTTTCTTGGGCTCCATGATCACTGCAGATGGTGACAGCAGTCACGAAATTAAAAGACGCCTGCTTCTTGGGAGAAAAGCAATGACAAACCTAGACAGCATCTTAAAAAGTAGAGACATCACCTTGCCAAACAAAGGTCCGTATAGTAAAAGCTATGGTTTTCCCAGTAGTGATGTATGGAAGTGAAAGCTGGACCATAAAGAAGGCTGATCACCAAAGAATTGATGCTTTTGAATTATGGTGCTGGAGGAGACTCTTGAGAGTCCCATGGACTGCAAGAAGATCAAACCTATCCATTCTTAAGGAAATCAGCCCTGAGTGCTCACTGGAAGGACAGATCGTGAAGCTGAGGCTCCAATACTTTGGCCACCTGATGAGAAGAGAAGACTCCCTGGAAAAGACCCTGATGTTGGGAAAGATGGAGGGCACAAGGAGAAGGGGACGACAGAGGACAAGATGGTTGGATGGTGTTCTTGAAGCTACTAACATGAGTTTGACCAAAGTGCGGGAGGCAGTGGAAGACAGAAGTGCCTGGCGTGCTCGGGTCCATGGGGTCACGAAGAGTCGGACACGACTAAACGACTAAACAACAACAACAAATGAGGACACAGGTTGATATAAACTAGGTGGTTAATATAGCAAGCTAACCGCCAACTCTGTATTTGTGATTGAAGCCACCTGTGTTCCAGAAATGCATGTTGACCGTAGCACTTCCTGACTGGTGTTTTATTGCAGATGGGTCCTGCAATGTGTTCTTGACACAATGCATTCGTGGTGGGTTTATTCTGCTTTATTAGTTGTTCTGCAAGGTTTCCCCAGTGTTACCACTTTATGGCTGTCTTGCAGGGCTATAGTGCAACAATGGTGGGACGGCCTGTACAAACCCCAGAACATTTATTGCACGAAAAATTTCGAGGATTTTAGCAGGAAGTTATGGGTTTTTAGTCTCCAAACGTTCTGAAAGTGGAATCGTGAATGACAGCTCCAATAGCACCATAAACACTAGTAATCATGAATGCACAATACAAAGGATATCCCATCGCTTGTCTGCCTCCCCCCTCAACCCTGTCTGAGTGTCTTTTGCAACTTCCCAATTCACCCACTTTTGAAGTTCCCACAAGTCCTTGACTTGAAGTATTTTTTCTTTCTTTTCCGATGAGTTTGGATATTGTTTTATTGATGTTTGTGTATAGTTTATGGTGTTGTTTATTTTGTCTTGTACCCCGCGCTGGCCTGATCGGTGCTTATGAAGGGCAAGCAATAAATCATTTTAATGAAGTAAATGAATAAAACACCTTGGGAATTCAAAGGATGCCGAAACCTTACAAAATTGGTGTTTGGCACATTCATATCTTTGCACCGCTGCCAAACTGCGTTTTGTTGTTTCCTTGTGCTTAACAGTTCTGCTGAAGCATGGCACATGCCAAAGTGCCCCTTCTTTGTGCACAAAGTGTGGGGCAACCTGGGCATTGTGCAGTTTGTTCCTGTGGCACTGTGCACCATGCTCGCCTCTGCTGCAGGACCCTCCATGCTACAGAAAATTAGCCCGCAGAGGAATGAAAGGTTTGAGCTGAGTCGTCGCAGGATTTGGACTGGAATCAGAGCGGAGTGCTGGGGCGGATCCACAGGTGGCTCAAGCCAGAAGTGGACTCAGTGTTGGCCCTTTGATGCTGAAATTGCCCTCCGCACCCCCACCTGGATGTACATTTCCAAAATATAGGATAAAAACAAATAAAATAAAACCTACATACAGCAACAGTGTTTTGTCTATGATGTAAGTAATGGGCCCCGCCTGCTAGCCTGCTCCCTAAAATATCACTGGTTTGCTCATTTCTCTATCAATTACTTTGGTAACATACATGTTTTGTTAGGTGAAAATGGCTTTAGATACCTGTTAGGTCCATAAATTACCATATGGCATATATTCAACACAAAAAACAGCGGCAATTTGTTGTTGGCAAAGGACAGCTGGACATTTACAGTGGTACCTCGGGTTACAGTAGCTTCAGGTTACAGACTCCGCTGACCCAGAAATAGTACCTCGGGTTAAGAACTTTGCTTCAGGATGAGAACAGAAATTGCGTGGCGGCAAGCGGGAGGCCCTATTAGCTAAAGTGGTGCTTCAGGTTAAGAACAGTTTCAGATTAAGAACGGACCTCCGGAACGAATTAAGTTCTTAATCCGAGGTACAACTGTAAAGGGCCCCATTACATTCAGTAGCTTAGGGTCTCATCAAACCTAAATCCGGCCTTGCCTCAGCCACCCTGCTCCTGCCTGCATTCTTACTTACCATCATTCCAGGGGGTAGGGCTGCCTCTCAGCTTCCTCATCCTCCGTTTCAGTGTTGCCCCTTGTAGAAGAAGCAGGGAGGAGGACGGGGACTACATTAGAATAAGTGGGTTCTGCCTGCCATTGGCTCTCTGGCTCCACCTACTGTCAGCCCTCCTTCCCCAAAGGCACCAGCCTCCAATGTCTTCCCCTCTCAACAGTGGTGCTATCAGAGAGAGGAGAGTATTAATTGAAAGAATTTAAGGAATTGTCAGGGAAATCAACAACATGGTTACAATATCATCATTTTAATGAAGTATTTAAGAAAGACAGGATATGAGGGTTTGGGGAACAAATATCACAACCTGTTGGAATGGAATGTAAAAGTGTTGTCTAAAATGCATAAAATAGTGTTGGAATGGGAGACAAAGGATGAGCAAGTAAAATCCTCAATGATACACTGGGCAATAGATACTGCTTATAATATAGACATAGAAGCATGGGAATGATTGTGGAATAGGGATATAAAATTCTCAGCATGTTATGGTTTAAGAGAAAATTACATGAAAGTGATATATTGTTGGTATCTAACACCGAGTAAACTGGCAAAAATGTGTAAATCTAAATCAAACAAGTGTTGGAAATGTAAAGAGAAAGAAGGTTCTTTTTATCATATGGGGTGGTCTTGTAGTAAGGTTAAAGCTTACTAGGAAATCATGTATAATGAATTGAAAAGGATGTTCAAAATAACCTTTGTAAAAAAAACCAGAAGCTTTTCTTTTGGGAATTATAGGGACAGAACTACCTAAATTGTATAGAAATTTATTTATGTATGCGACTACAGCGGCAAGAATGTGACTTGCCCCAAAATGGAAAGAAGCAGAAGCCCAAGAAAAGGAAGAATGGATACAAAAACTTATGGAATATGCAGAAATGGCGAAACTTGCCAGAAGAATAAGAAACCGAGTTAACATTCTTTTTATATAAGAATGGAAATGGTTTATTGAATATTTACAGGTAAATTGCAAGCAGATTGGCAGGATTACTGTAACAACCTACAGCTTCATAAGAGTATATATTTAAAGTAGATAATTAAATGAGCAAATGAAATGAATTTGGATATGCAGAAGATATTTAAAAATAAATTTAAGGAGTTGCAAAAAGAGGGGGAAGGAAATCAAGCTTTGAAAATGTTAAAATGATTGTAAAATTAATGAAATGTATAAACAAAAATACTAAAAAACCTGGTGAACTCTGTATTAAACCCAGATACATTCTCCTCCCCTCCTCCTCCCCCCACCGCCACCCCACCCCAAAGCTTCCCCCAGGCGAGAGAATGCAAAGCTGTTTGACTGCTTTTCAGAGTGTTTCAATTTGAGCAGAGAAAAGCTGGCTCTGTACGCTAGTGCAAAGTATCAGATGCCGATGTTCTGTACTTCAAACAGTCGTTGAATATATTAATATCTGGAGAATATTTAGAGAATATTATATTTGCCATCAAAAGCCATAAAGTGAGACCTCTGAAGAGAATTGCGGTGGGAGGGAGCAACCGATTCATTTCCGTTCTACTTCTAAGGCTACGTTTTACTGAGAGATTTGAGAGCCACGCAGCACTTGTTATTCGAGGAAAGGAGCACTGCTGGGCTGCGTAGCAGCTGGTGTAGTGGATCAGAGTCACCCTCCTGACACCAGCCTCACTACAGCTTACCTGCGCAGTTGGATGCGGGTGGCGCTGTGGTCCAAACCACGAGCCTCTTGCGCTTGCTGAAAGGTCGACAGTTCGAATCCGCACAGTGGGGTGAGCTGTTGCTCTGTCCCAGCTCCTGCCAACCTAGCAGTTCAAAAGCACACCAGCATGAGTAGACAAATAGGTACCACTGCGGCGGGAAGGTAAATAGCGTTTCCGTGCGCTCTGGCACTTGTCATGGTGTTCCGTGTGCCAGAAGTGGTTTAGTCGTGCTGGCCACATGACCTGGAAAGCTGTCTATGGACAAACACCGGCTCTCTTGGCCTGAAAGCAGAGATGAGTGCCACAACCTATAGTCAAATTCGACTGGACTTAACCGTCCAGGGTTCTTTTACCTTTACCTGCGAAGACTGGGTCAGGGAGGTAATGAGACTGGCGTAGCCAGCCAAGCACTCTTGCCAATTAGGGATGGGAGAATGTGGCCATTTTGGTTTCCCTCAGTTTCTCATGTTTCCAATCTTAAGTGCGGTCCTCCACATTTCCACGTCCTTTGCGTTATTATTTTTTTAACTTCATGAAAATTCACCTGCATTTTAGTTGAAATTCCCACAGCAGGCACATTTCCACCTGCAAATCTTCCCAATAGACAAACTTTTGCAAAGCCTATTAGCATGCATTATTTTTCCTAATATAAGCATTTGTATGCTCACTTTACCCCATCGTTGGAGACTTTCCTTGGATGGAAAACTGCATTGCCAAATTTGTAGACCTACCACATTTTGAAGGTTGGTTGGGTTTTTTGATTCAGAAAGTGCGAATTTCACTTCACGTGCTGTTGGGCAAAGTGCAGGTTGGGTAGGTTCACCTTGACATGTGAACTGGTTTGAACATCTCCCCCATGGAAGCCATGACCTTGCAATGCCACAGTCGGAAGTGTGGCTCTGTTGCTTTGCCCCATCACACCAGATGTTACTGTATTTGTGCTTTTGATTTTTCATCTAACCATTCCTTGCTGTCTTCTAGCGAGCTCATGAGCCTTGTTCAGGCATTCAAAGCTCACAGGTGCAACTGAGAATCCTGATCTTGCAAAGTTCTAAACTGTGCAAAGAACTTGTGCACATACAGAAAGGCTCCCATATTATTATTATTATTATTATTATTATTATTATTATTATTATTTGTGTACTGCCCTATACTTGAAGGTCTCAGGGTAGTTCACAACTCAAAACTGCAATATACAAAGCAGAAAATACATAATAAAAATAATCAAAGGTAAAGGTAAAGGGACCCCCTGACCATTAGGTCCAGTCACTGACGACTCTGGGGTTGCGGCGCTCATCTCGCTTTATTGGCCAAGGGAGCCGGCATACACTTCTGGGTCATGTGGCCAGCATGATTAAGCCGCTTCTGGCGAAACCAGAGCAGCACACGGAAATGCCGTTTACCTTCCCGCCAGAGAAGTATCTATTTATCTACTTGCACTTTGACTTGCTTTCGAACTGCTAGGTTGGCAGGAGCTCGGGAGCTCACCCCGTCGCGGGGATTCGAACTGCCGACCTTCTGATCAGCAAGCCCTAGGCTCTGTGGTTTAGACCAATCAAAAAAATCAACAACAGTAATATATAAACACTAATAAACTATACACTTCCTAACAAACTTAAGAGGGTGTGTTACTGTGATGGGGAGCAGTGAGAATGGCCGTACTCTTTTCCTCACATTATTGCAAGTGATTGTATCCTGGTATCCTATGTAATTGGTGCTGGAGGAGACTCTTGAGAGTCCCATGGACTGCAAGAAGATCAAACCTATCCATTCTGAATGAAATCAGCCCTGAGTGCTCACTGGAAGGACAGATCGTGAAGCTGAGACTCCAATACTTTGGCCACCTCAGGAGAAGAGAAGACTCCTGAAAAGACCCTGATGTTGGGCAAGATGGAGGGCACAAGGATAAGGGGACGACAGAGGACAAGATGGTTGGACAGTGTTCTAGAAGCTACCAGCATGAGTTTGACCAAACTGCGGGAGGCAGTGGAAGACAGGAGTGCCTGGCGTGCTCTGGTCCAGGGGGTCACGAAGAGTCGGACACGACTAAACGACTAAACAACAAATCCTATGTAATGCCCATTTCCAAACATATGGGAATGAGTAGCACTTTTCTAATTAGGAACTTAATCAAAGGGATCCTTGCCTTTCACGAAAGCCCACATTCAAGGTGACGCCTGTCAGTTCCTCCCCATGATCTTCAGCTAACTTTGAACATTTGCCAGCTCATAAATCCCTAAGAAGGCAGGTGGCTGCAGAACTGTGAGTGGGACGGAGGAACCCACAGGCCATTTAAATGGACACAATTACACATGTGCCAACTGGGTCACTTTGAAACCAACTGCACTAAGAGGGTGGCCCTGTAATGGAGCTGGGATGCCAACTTGAATAAAATATTGGGGGAGCAGGTAAGCCCCGTGTCGCATAACCAATCACAAAACATAGCACACACACACCATTTGAATGCTCAGCAACTTTTTTGGGGGGAGGGCTGGCCCCCTCAAATATTTTATTGGGTGGGTCAAAAGGACCTTGGCCTCTAGGAGTTGTCTCCTACGTAATTGGGAGAGGAAAGGTTTCACACAGTCATCAATCAGAGGGCCGTACTTAGACACAGCTGGCCCTACCGTTAGGCAGAGTGAGGCAGGAGCCTCAGGTTGCTGATGTTAGCTGGAGGGGCAGACAAATCTTGCATCGGAAGGTCGGCGGTTCGAATCCGTGTGACTGAGTGAGCTCCCGTTGCTCTGTCCCAGCTCCTGCCAACCTAGCTGTTTGAAAGCAAACCAGTGCAAATAGATAAATAGGTACCACTGCAGCGGGAAGGTAAACGGTGTTTCCGTGCGCTCTGGTTTCCATCACGGTGTCCCATTGTGCCAGAAGCTACTGTTAGTTCCATCATGAGATGTCCGCCAGCTTCTAATCACAGATACCAGCAGCCTTCAAGCAAGCAAACTTGCCTTATTATTGCTCCATAGCATCCCACTGCCAGAGGATTGCCTCATTCCATTCACCAGTTTGCCTCCTCCAAGTGAAAGAAACCTGGGCAGTGCTGAATGTCACATCCATTGCCAGGTGTTTCCTGCTGGAAATAGAAAAGGGCTTTCCCCTTGGCCTGCCTTTATATCCACTCAGTTGCCAAGTGCTTTTGTGACATCACAAGAAACCCACAGCCAATGGCAACAGCTGGGGAGGCATCATCTTCACTGCTTTGAGCTTCACAGTGGCGGGTGGACCTATCAGTGATTGTGTGCTTGTTTATTCAGGACACGGGTAGAGCTGTGGTCTAAACCACTGAGCCTCTTGCTGCTGTCAGATGTGGCGGAGGACCTTGTCCTGTCACCAGTGTTGAAGTAAGAGTCAATTGCCTGTCTGATGGGATCCTGGACATGGGGTTATGGAGCAGGCCCTCATCCAACCGAAGAACTGAAGTGCCAGGTCCCCCCGCCAATAGAATAATAGAACTGTAGAGTTAGAAGGAGCCCTGAGCATCATCCAGGCCAATCCCCTGCAATGCAGGAATATGCAGCTGTCCCATATGGGGATCAAACCTGCTGGGACTACAGTTCCTATCATCCCCAATCACGGGACATGCTGACCGGGGACTCATGGGAGTTGGAGTCCGACAGCACCTGGAAGGCCACAGGTTAAGACCCTGTGCCCTCTACTGATCACGGTTCTGAACCAGCAGGAAACCTCTGATGGTGGCATCAAGAGAACTTTGCAGAAACTCGGCAGTGTTGCCTCTTTCCCTTCAACCCTTGCTTTTTTGTTATTTTATTCCATCCTCGCTTGCCTCCCCTTCCTCCAAGCCTTTTTTTTTTTTATCCCCTCCCTTTTTTTGTAATTTAAAACTCTGCTCCATTTGCTGCCACTGACCTTAACGGCTTAAATTAAAAAGCAATGTTCTGTGTATGTCTTGAAATCACGGCATTCAGGACCCTATGAAGCTTGACACAGGAGCGGCAGGCGGGGTGGTGGGGGTGGGGAGAGAGAAGCAGGTACAATTACCAGCCCCCTCCATTCCCCCCCCTACATCTCTTTCCGAGCGGATATCTTCTCCTGCCTTACTATTTCCCCCCTTCCCCTCTCTCTTCTTCACTCCGCAACATTTATGTTTTTAATAACACCCGTAATGACTTTGACCTTGTGGATTTACATTGGAATTTGCAAAGAAGATGCAGCGTAGAGGCACTCGCTTTGCTATTTGTCTAAATCTTCTTCCTGGGAACGGAAGAGAGAGGGAGGAGATTTCTCTCTCTGTCATGCTGCTTGACTGGGGACCGGGACTCAGGTGTCAACTTAATTTGTGGGTGTAAAAGAGGGGAAGAGACGGAGAGATAGAAAGGGTGTTGGGGGGGGGGGAGAGAGAGAAAAAAGTGTTTTGCAGGGTGGCAGAGAGAACAGACACACAATTCACGGCAGCTATGCACTGAACAGGGCTATGCACACACCAATAAATGGTGGCTCTGAGCTACAAACTAACAATGGCTAAGGCCAGATCCATGCAATACACTTAAGTCACATCAAATGCCCCCTTAAAGCATACAGCTCCCCCCAAGGAATGTTAAGGGGGCTGGGAATAGTAGCTCCGGGAGGAGGTAAGCCCAGTTCCATATCCTCAGGTGTCCTTATATTCCAGGGACAGTGCCGGAATTAGGAAAGCCATCCTGGCTTCTGATTTGATCCTGTTGTTGTTTAGTTGTGTCCGACTCTTTGTGACCCCATGGACCAGAGCACGCCAGGCAATCCTGTCTTCCCCTGCCTCCTGCAGTTTGGTCAAACTCATGCTGGTAGCTTTGAGAACACTGTCCAACCATCTTGTCCTCTGTCGTCCCCTTCTTCTTGTGCCCTCCATCTTTCCCAGCATCAGGGTCTTTTCCAGGGAGTCTCCTCGTCTCATGAAGCTGATTTTGACACACAACCCAAAGGAAACTGCAAGGAAAAGGCACATGGGACCATGTAACATGAGTTGATCCTCATGTCATTATTGATACCCCACACGTGTATGCTGAACCGGTTCCTATGTACAAAACGCAATATATATATATTTCCTCCCCAGGGAAGCTATATTACCATTCATACTACCATTGATCATTATTTTCTTGCTCTGTGTCTCAGCTGGTCACCCATTCCTTCATTTCTAAGGCATCAGCGTGTCATTTACCTCAGTGGTAAAAGCCAGCAGGTACGGTCTTGTATGACTTTAAAATTACCAGGGTTCTTTAGAATGGTGGTAGGAATGCTGTCAAGAGATGTGGGCTCAGGACCCTTCTGGGAAACCTGTTTATTGCACATTCATCCTGATTCATTTGCAGGGAGATCATGGGCCTTGTGGGTGTCTTCTGCAACATGTTCTTGACGCAACAATAGCACCTTAGCAGTGAATTTATTCTGCTTTCATTTGTTCTTCAGGTGCTTCCCCGATGCTACCGCATATTTGCCGTCCAGATAGCACAACCAAAGTGGGATAAAAATAAACCAGAAAATTTGTGGGATGAAATGTTATGGGACTTCAACAGCATCTGCACTGATCGGAAATGAAGCAATTCAAACCTCTCCCCACTTGGGGGGGGGGAGCTTTTGCGGGATCAAACAGTATTGAAAGTAGGATGACGTGTGACAGCCCCAATAGCATCAAGAGCACAATCCGTCATGAATGTGCAATAAAAAGGATGTCTGCAGGGGCCCTAGGTGCTGTTGACTTTTTAATGAGCATTCGTCTGAATTTGTTTGCAGAGAGGCCGGATGATGTTATATCGAAGTGAAATCCTGAGTTTCCCCTCTATCACTTTCCTTCTTGCAAAAAAAGATGGATCTTTGAGGTAGTGAGTTTGTTCCACAATCAGCTATACTTGCGCAACCTGAGTTTGCTGGCATGTGACAGAATCCCACCCCAAAACAGAAATGATTTGGAAGCACTCACAGGGAGGAATTCAATCCAGGCATGTCCAAAGTCTGTTTCGGGGATCTAATTCAGTTTAATCTGGCCCCTGTGGCAGTTTATTTCCTGGGGTAAAATCCTTTAAAAATAATTTATTATTTGTATCACCCCCATTTGACAGGGTTGCCCTACAACAACTAGTAGTAGTTATCCAAACCTTTCTTCAAGGAGGCTGTTGTGGGTGAACATATCAGACGACAGCGATTCTTCAAACAGCTCTTGTTTATTCACAGGCCAGAACAGAACTGAGCTGAAGGGTTCAGCCAACCTGCTTATATAGAGCTCAACTACAATGCAACAGTAACAACTTTCTGTAACTATCCAATCACTGAATGTCACTTTCAATTCCTTATTTGCATATGTGGACCTGAGTGAAAACTATCTACAGTATCCCCCTGCTGGCCCAGGGTGAGAACTTCAGTACATGACAGAGGCTACCCCGTTTAATCCTCATGTGCCCTGAGATAGGTAACGCTGAAAAAATGGTGATCAGCACAATATCTGTGATGGTGTCATGGCTGAGCAGGGATTCAAACCTTGGTCTTCTTGAAGCATGTCCATCCAGCACTTAGGCAGAGCAATTCTAAGAGGCTGGCAGAAGTAGCACCTGAGGAGGAACGGTGCCATTGAATGTATCACCTTCTCTTCTCGGTTCAACTCTTCCCTAAACAAGACTTTATAAAAATGCATCAAAAGTCTGTTTACACTGAGGCAGCAGCAAACGTGGCCTGCTTTTCTTCTTGTTGTTGTTGTTGAGTCGTTTAGTTGTGTCCGACTCTTCGTGACCCCATGGACCAGAGCACGCCAGGCACTTCTGTCTTCCACTGCCTCCCGCAGTTTGGTCAAACTCATGTTAGTAGCTTCAAGAACACTGTCCGGCCATCTCATCCTCTGTCGTCCCCTTCTCCTTGTGCCCTCCATCTTTCCCAACATCAGGGTCTTTTCCAGGGAGTCTTCTCTTCTCATGAGGTGGCCAAAGTATTGGAGCCTCAGCTTTACGATCTGTCCTTCCGGTGAGCACTCAGGGCTGATTTCCTTCAGAATGGATAGGTTTGATCTTCTTGCAGTCCATGGGACTCTCAAGAGTCTCCTCCAGCACCAGAATTCAAGAGCATCAATTCTTTGGCAATCAGCCTTCTTTATGGTCCAGCTTTCACTTCCATACATCACTACTGGGAAAACCATAGCTTTTACTATACGGACCTTTGTTGGCAAGGTGATGTCTCTACTTTTTAAGATGCTGTCTATGTTTGTCATTGCTTTTCTCCCAAGAAGCAGGCGTCTTTTAATTTTGTGACCTGCTGTCACCATCTGCAGTGATCATGGAGCCCAAGAAAGTAAAATCTCTCACTGCCTCCATTTCATCCCCTCCTATTTGCCAGGAGGTGATGGGACCAGTGGCCATGATCTTCGTTTTTTTGATGTTGAGCTTCAGACCATATTTTGCGCTCTCCTCTTTTTCTGCCATCTCCTCACTTTCTGCCATCAAGGTTGTGTCATCTGCATATCTGAGGTTGTTGATATTGCTTCCGGCAATCTTAATTCCGGCTTGGGATTCATCCAGCCCAGCCTTTTGCATGATGAATTCTGCATATAAGTTAAATAAGCAGGGATACAATATACAGCCTTGTCGAACTCCTTTCCCAATTTTGAACCAGTCAGTTGTTCCATATCCAGTTCTAACTGTAGCTTCTTGTCTTTTCTAGCTGGGTTTTTTTCCATGGGCTTTTTGCAACAGAACTCTTTGCTGCCACGTTTTGAGTTGCTGGCTGGAAGGCTGCAAGAACCAAATCCACAACTCCCCACAAACACCCCTGGCTCCTGCTCCCGGGCACTTTGCAGTCTTCCCATGTCTCCTCTTCTGTTTAAAAATAAAACCCGTCGGCATCGATCAGAGGGAGAAGCGAATAAATGAAGCAGGTAACTGAGCCATGGAGAATTGCCTTGGACTTTATGGCTAAGCCTCCTCTCCAAGACTATTAAACAGATCCCCACTCCCTCCCCTGGCAGTAGTCCTATTACCTTCCCCTAGGCTCCATCAGGTACTCATCTGCCCTGCATCTTCCTGTTGTGAGGGGGAAATGGACTCCCGGTTCGAGGGCTCGTTCCTAAACAAAGAAGTGCTGGGGCTCACGAAGTCACACGCTCCCGTGACCTGCTGCAGGCCTTTCCCACAATCACAGGTGAGTTCCGGTTGACTGTGTGGCCACTCCATGTGGATGGAAAGCTACTTTGCACATGCTCAAAGGCGCACTCCTCTGCCCTTGTTATTTCTTAGGTTGACAAATCACCTTTTTATAAAGATGTATCCACAGTATCAGGGACACGGGTGGCGCTGTGGGTTAAACCACAGAGCCTAGGACTTGCCGATCAGAAGGTCGGCTGTTCGAATCCCCGTGACGGGGAGAGCTCCCATTGCTTGGTCCCTGTTCCTCCCAACCTAGCAGTTCAAAAGCACACCAGTCGAAGTAGATAAATAGGTACCGCTCCGGCGGGAAGGTAAATGGCGTTTCCGTGCGCTGCTCTGGTTCGCCAGAAGCGGCTTAGTCATGCTGGCCACGTGACCTGGAAGCTGTACGCCGGCTCCCTTGGCCAATAAAGTGAGATGAGCACCGCAACCCCAAAGTCGGCCACGACTGGACCTAATGGTCAGGGGTCCCTTTACCTTTTTATCCACAGTATCTGAAGAAGTGTGCATGCACACAAAAGCTCATACCAATAACAAACTTAGTTGGTCTCTAAGGTGCTACTGGAAAGATTTTTTTTTTTATTTTGTATCCAAAGTGGTGAAACTCTCCTGCCGCGTTCTCTCGCACGCAATAAATTAGAGGTATCAGTAAAAAGCAATGCCATTGTAAAACCAGCAGTAAATTAATCATTAAAACACCAGCACTAAAACATTCATATGCTAAAAATCTGAGTAAACGCAAAGGTCATTTTCTGCCACCCTGGGTGGGCCCGACAATTTTTGATAGCGAGGAAGCAGAATTAACAGGCAGAAGATGGAAAGCTATCAGAATATGCATTTTACTGTGGTGGCGGTGGCAATATTTAGATCTTCCACCTTGGGCATCAAAAGTTGGACAGCTGAACAGCGCAGTACTGGGGTTGCCCCCCAGGAAGGCTAGTTTCATGTTGTGGCCCCACCACTACCGAAAAAAGGAGGGGAGAGACCTGATTGCTCATGCTGCTATTAGCAATGGTCACCCAGTGATTTGTTGAGTCTTTTAACGGACTGTGGGTGTTGTTGTTTTGTAAAATGGATTTAATGTCTTCTTATTTACTGGTTTTAATTGTAAACTACCCTGTGGCTTGTGCAAAGGGCAGCCCATAAGTCAGCTCCATAAATAAATGAATACTTTAAAAAGAAAGAATCTGAAATGACCGCCACCCCATAATAAAAACAGAAACGGGAGGAAGCTAACAGAGGCTCTCATTCACTCTCCTCAATACCTGGGGAGGTTCGTAGGAGAAAAGTTGCACCCGCAGATATGAAGAGCTCCTGCCACTTGGGTGTTTATTAATGCAAAGGTGTGATTAAAATGTTTGCTGTATATCTATAGGTCACCAAGCTTATTTGGGCCAGTATGCACATTTGGAATTTTTAGAACGTGCTGTGGGCGCCAGTCACAAAATGGCTGCTGTGGGGTGTGGCATACATATTACAAAATGGCTGCCACATCTATTTTCAGGGCCTTGGAGTGGCAAGTTTAACTGCATGTTCAGACGCAGAAACCTCCCCCCTAAACAAATTCACACATGACTCAAATTTTGGTTTTGGTTTTTGGCAGAATTTAGGCCACAACTTTATTGATTACAGAAAGTGACTGGTTGCATAGGCTCTGGTTTGACTAGCTCCCTACCATGCAGGTGGCGCTGACCCAGGGTTCCAGCATAGGTCAGGCAAGGGTGAACACCTGGATAAGTGGAAAGCCGGGAAGGGGCTAACTCCGCCACCCAAATGTCCCCCTGGACTCAGGCACGGGCACAACCCCTCTCAGGGGTTGACCAAACCATCAAGTCCCTGGTTTCCTTTAACGGAATACTCTTTACATAGGGATGGCGAGAGCGTTCTCCCATCCCTTCCACCTGAACCAGAGCATATCCGCAACCTTACAAGTTGTGACGATTTGCTACGCGGCAGGCAAAACCCAAATGGCAACAGCCAATCTGCCAAGTGGGGAAAATTCCTGCCGTGCCCCTGTCCCAACGATAGACGACACACGAAGGTATAGCAAGGTCAAGCGCAAAACCCTAAAAGTAGGGAGAGGTGGGTGGGTGTTCTGAATGCACGCGCCAAAAGAGGAAGCTCTGGGTCACGTGCATGGGCATAAATAGGTCCCTTGAACCGTTTGGACTGTGTCCCATTGGCCAGATTGCACCCATCTTCGAGCGACCTATCAAAAGGGTGTTGTGGCTGACCAATAGTACCCACCCACAACACAGGGTATCAGTTTTCCAGGTCTCACTGCAATACGTGGCCTCTTTAAGGGAGGACCCGAACTCTCAGTACCGTGTGAGTCTCAAATGACTACCTTTGGATCTTGGCTCTAGGCGGTTTGCAGCGATGAATGCAAATGGCGGTAACAATATTATTTTAAAGCACCACTTATTGTGGGTTGTTTTCTTTTTTTTGAAACTCAAGATTCTAAAGCAGGAATACTTGCCCAGGAGGTTCTGTTCTTCAAGAGTTTCCCCAAATTCGCACCACTAACACCTGACTCTTTATTGCTCCCTTAAGTGAGTGTGCCTAGGACTGTAGCATGAGGCAGGGTGTTATGTTCTGACCCTGGGCCAGCAGGGGGATACTGTAGATAGTTTTCACTCAGGTCCACATATGCAAATAAGGGATTGAAAGTGACGTTCAGTGATTGGATAGTTACAGAAAGTTGTTACTGTTGCATTGTAGTTGAGCTCTATATAAGCAGGTTGGCTGAACCCTTCAGTTCAGTTCTGTTCTGGCCTATGAATAAACAAGAGCTGTTTGAAGAACCGCTGTGTCGTCTGATATATTCACCCACAACTTAACACAGGGTAAAAAAAAACCTTGTGTGATCACTAAAAATGTCCAAACAATTCCTTCGCTGGAAGAAGAAAAGAGGGGAAGATATTTCTGCCTCTCAGGGTCCATGCTGTATGGCTGGGTCTGTGCTGTTGTCAGAGGAACATCAGAAGCTGCCTTATACTGACTCAGAACATTGGTCTATCTAACTCAGTATTGTCTACTGGCAGTGATTCTTCAGGGTTTCAGACAGGGGTCTCTCCCAACTCTGTTTGGAAATGTCAGGAACGGAACTCGGGACCTTCTGTAGATCTTCAGCCATTGAGCTACAGCCCTACAACACAACAGTTAGTAGAAGAGGTTCTGTTTCCCCAGAGTAGGTTAGACTACTTTAGCCTTTTGCTGAAAAAATGTGGTTATTTCTCTGATTTGAAAACAGGTTTAATAGGGGGCACTTAGCACATTTTGGCAGGGGCAGGTAGCTTGCAGGTATTTTTCTGACTTGAGGGGGGGGGGAAATATGGCAGACACTTTGGCCAGGATTTATGAAAAGTTATTAGACTGTGTATCCAGATTTTTTATTTTATTTGACTGTTTTGCATTGACTTATGATGTACCTTGCTGGGCCCTTGCCTCCCTCTCTCCTTACAATTATGGATGCACCTACTGCAGTCACCTGTTATAACCAGGATGATGATAATGATGACGATTGTTATCATTTATTTATTTATTTTATTATTATTACGGTCACAGACCAGTTCCGGGTCACTTACAATATCAGGAAAATCATAAAACACAACAGGAATACATTGAATTTCAATTGGGTATAACAGTGACAATTCAGATATGGCGGCAGTTTAAAAATATATTATGATTGTTATTGCTTTTTTATGGCATATGCAATACCCAAAACCTTATTCTCCTCATCTACCCCTTTGTCATTTATTTTTTTAAAAAAGCTGCATGGTATGTCAAAACTTGTTGAATCCAACAATAGCATAGCATAGCATAGCATAGCATAGCATAGCATAGCATAGCATAGAATAAAATAAAGTAATAGACTAAACTAGCTAGTCACCAACATAAATATCAAAAAGCATTTATGCTGTTAAACATTGTGTGATGGTGCTGTCATTTACAAGAAAAGGTTTCCATTAGCTAGAACTCTGCCTGGTGGAGCTGATTTTTCACTGCGTCTACATCCCCAAAGGACTTGGTCTGAGAGTTATCACTCCTATTTTTATCAGACAAATGTTGTTTTTCAATGGCAGCCATTTTGTTAAAGGAACAAAACTATAGACCTGCTTCCTTTCTCTTCCAAAAAGCAGAAAATAGAGTGAATCAGTCAGAAGATTAAAAGTCTATCTCACCACATTATGATTTTTAGACCCATTCCCGTGATTATATGCTAAGGACTCTCTCTCTCTCTCTCTCTCTCTCTCTCTCTCTGTGTGTGTGTGTGTGTGTGTGTCTTTGAATTTTATGGGGCTGTTCATCTTGCTCTCAATACTGGCCTGTACAACTCGCTTGGATACTTGAACACATCTACTATATTCTCTTCTAATCGTATTCCCTTTTTGTTCCACCTCTCTCTCTCTCTCTCCCCCCCCCCCCTTCTTTTCTCCTTCAGCTTCTTAAAATTCTGACTCTTTCGTTCGTTTCATGGGAGATAATGCTAAACAGAGCTGAACTGTCTCACTTCCCTGTGATGAGAAGTGTGTGTGTGTGTGTGTGTGTGTGTGTGTGTGTGTGTGTGTGTACTGAACAATAGGTCTCTTGTCAGAATGTGTTTCTAGCCAGTTCACCCCTATTGCCCAACAAGCGCCATCCTTTGAGTCACAAAATCATTGCGGCCGTAAATCTGCAGCTGCCACATTATCTGCAACCTGCCATCACCGAGTAAATCAGGGGCTCATCCCAAATGCCTCCCTGGACAGAGTGGGTTTTTGCATCCGCAGAAAGGAAAAAACGGGCAGGGGGAGGGATGGTTGTGGTAAAACAACCGCCTTGGATTTGAACAGATCCAGTCTGGATTTGATGGCCCCGCAGCGCTCAGGCTACAGCCAGAACGAGTCTAAGGAGAACGTACCCACGGCTCCAGGGTTGTTCTAATTAACGCACAAGGCCACTTTTGATCCCTCCATCCTCCCGCCATTCCCCCAATCCATCTAGCAATGGCATCACTCCTACCATCCTGCGTTGCTAGAATATTCCTATAGGAGGCCAACCTGCCTCGAAAGCTACTGCGATCATTCCAGTTCCCCCCATCGCTGCGAACGTAATTTCTGGTGGCCCAGGGTTTGGCTGTAACTCACTGCACGCAAGTGACGGAAATTGCTTTCCCCACAGGCCCTTGCTTGGCTTTGCTACACTGGAGAGCCTGCCAATTCCTCCGGCGACATCATCAAGGGAAGGCCGGAGTTAATTTTTTGTCTATTTACGATGGGCTTTACTCGGTGCCATTTCCTTTGCCCACTTGATGAATGGGTGGGTAGAAGCGGCAAAGGAAAAAGTGTGTGTGTGTGAGAGAGAGAGAGAGAGAGAGAGAAGGAAAGAGAAAGAGGGAGAGAGAAAGAGAGATGGGGGGTGGGGGCGGGAGGCCATCAGTGGATGCTTACCAAGGCCTAAAATGGAAGACATGATCAGGGGCGTTGCCCAAAGGCTGCTTATTTCTTTGTGAACCACCCTGAGATCTGTGGATGAAGGGTGGTATGCAAATTAAAAATAGATAGATAGATATAGATGTACACACACGCACACACACAAACACACACACACACCCTACCTACTAACCAGAGTTCTTGAAGTGGCTTACAGTATATATTAAAATAAAATAAAAAAAAGACAGTGGTACAGTGGTAAAAAATAGATAGTGGGACACGGGTGGCGCTGTGGTGTAAACCACTGAGCCTCTTGGGCTTGCCGATCAGAAGGTTGGCGGTTCGACCTATTTGTGGGGCATAGGTATTCGTTCTTTTCCCCACTTCAAAATATAGTCTGGCCCCCCCAAGGTCTGAGGGACAGTGGACCAGCCCCCTGCTGAAAAAGTTTGCTGACCGCTGTTGTAGTCCAACAACATCTAGGGCCCTAAGGTTGAGAAAGGCTGGTGTAGACAATACTAAGCTAGGAATGGTGCTCTGATTCAGCATAAGGCAGCTTCCTATGTTTTCAGCAGGAAAGTAAAGGTAAAGGTAAATGGACCCCTGACCATTAGGTCCAGTTGTGGCTGACTCTGGGGTTGTGGTGCTCATCTCGCTTTATTGGCTGAGGGAGCCGGCATACAGCTTCTGGGTCATGTGGCCAGCATGACTAAGCCACTTCTGGCGAACCAGAGCAGTGTACGGAAACGCCGTTTACCTTCCCGTCGGAGCGGTACCTATTTATCTACTTGCACTTTGATGTGCTTTCGAACTGCTAGGTTGGCAGGAGCAGGGACCGAGCGACGGGAGCTCACCCCGTCGCGGGGATTCAAACCGCCGACCTTCTGATCGGCAAGTCCTAGGCTCTGTGGTTTAACCCACAGTGCCACCCGCGCCCCTCGGCAGGAAAACGCCTGTATTAATAGTGATCGACCTTCCTTCACCCACCTTTTCTTTCTCTCTCTTGCCGTTCTCCATGATACTGTTGCTCTTGCTCACCATCCCAGGCCACCATCTTTTCTCTCAGCACTATTTTCCCTGCTGCACATTCTCTAAATTAAAAACATGGCAGTTCCAGTCGTTGGAGGCCTGATGTGCACGAGCATGTTTAAACGTCAGCGGTGTCCTCCAGAGAGCAGCCGATCTGGAAGCAATTGCAGCCAGGGAAGATTAAAGACTGTGACCTTGGTGAGAGCTAAATCTCCATCGTTTGTAAAATATTAGCCGAGGTTGCAGATCACCCGCATATCTTCCACCACAAGCAGTTTGGGGTGTGGCCACTTCTCCATCGCCAAAAGGCAAGACAAAAGGGGACATTGCACACACGCATCCCCATTTAGAAACAATAACCCTCTTTAGCATATGTGCCACCAGGGTGAAAAGATCTGCCCGGTGCCCCCAAATTTAGTTTTGCTGCCCCCAAATTTTTAGGGGGGTGGGGCGGGTGAACTCAAATAAGTTGTTGAGGTTTTTTTGGGAGGGGTGAAGCCATTTTGGTTGTCCTTTTTTTAGGGGGGAGGGCGAACTCAAAATTGTTGAGCTTCTTTTGGGGAGGAAAATCGCTCACCTGTAACAACGATGCAGCGGAAATAACTGGTTTTGTTTCCTGACTTCGGGGATATTGGAGACTATGGAGTAACAGAGCGATGGAGGAGGGGGGTGGGGACTTTCGCTCCATTGGTTTTCACTCTCGTCGATCGAGAGGGACCGGTATACAGTAGATATACATTTGGCACCCCCCAGAATTAGGCGCCTGGGTGCCCCGCACCCCTTTCACCCCTGGGTAAAGACGGCCCGGACTATAATTGTCATAGAAATCCAGCCTATTTTGCCCCATAATGGGGAAGGCTGTGACCAGGTGGTCCTGTGTGTTTGCTCGTTTGGCTGCTAACTGTTGACGGGCACCTTCAAGTCCCTCCTGCTCTCCTCCCTTCATAGGGTTCTGGATCTTTAAACTCGACATGGGCCACTTTTCAAATGGAGGACCCCCTTCAACCTGAGGGCTCTTGCCTCTGTTTGAGGCCACCTTGGCTGTTTGACACCATCCCAGGAATTCACAATGGTGCAACTTCATCAGTAGTCCAGAAGCAGAAGCTTTCATGAAGGTTTGTTCAGGCTGTTTGTATCCTTCAACCCTTGAACAGGACCCAGGCATTGGTGGTGATGATAACCACCACCACCACCACAGGGAACATGCCCCAAGAGGAAGGGTGGAACTCTGGCAGTTCTTGCTCTTGTAAAACCATTCTAGGTACTTGGAGCAAGATGGTGGCACTGGCAGGTCAGATATTGTGGCCACTTATGCATTCCCCCCAAAAGAAAGAGGTCAAAAAAGGGCAGAGATCAGCCTATAGTTGGTTTACATGAATGTATAGATGCAAACTTAGAAATAATTACTCACATTTAAATAGAATAGAAATTCAATGCATTTCACCACAGTGGGGAAGATGGTGACCTGTGTCCCTGCTCAGTCTGCTGCCCAGGTGCTGATGGCAACTTAAAGGCTGTTGCAAAATTTCGTACTTAGGGTTCTTTGCCTTTAAGCCAGATTTGGACCAGCCAGCCCTTCAGAAAGAGGACTATTCTCCATAAAGCCATAAACCTGGCCTCTCTACTGGCAGGCCCCTTAAAGGGCCTTGCCTCTGTCACAGTGTGATGCCACTGACATCTGATGCTGGCCATGGATATCACTGGTCAGTAGGGATGGTGATGAAGTTTATTAAAAGTAGCAGAAGAACAAGCTTTGATGGAGCTTGCCTGCTTGCACACAAACCATTCTTCTGCCTTACAAGCAGTCTTTGATACTGATCTTTTGATCAACTTTTCACCCCGAAATCCTCATCACTATTCTCTATCTCCAGGCTTAAGCTCGTAACTCTGCTCAGCTCATTGTCATTGGTTTTGTGGTTCCTGTCTGATCTGACGTGATTAAATGTGTATAGGAACTGTCTGTGTGCTCTGTCTGTTATATTTAGGCAATGATTTCTTCTTATCCTGTGCCCTACAGAACACACACACATATTTACATATGTGTCCATTTCTCAGCAGGGTGGATGGCAAAGGGCAGTGACTGGGGACAGTGGTTTGGCTTGCTACTTTAGGTAATCCTATCAAAGAAGAAAAGGCTAAGTTAAAGAACAGTGAATGCAATTTGTTTAGGTGTCTGTGTCCTGCAGGCAAAGAAAGGAGCTGATGGTGAGGTGGCTGGTTGAAGTGAATGGGACTGGCAGTTTGAGATGACACAGAGTGCTTTTTTTTTCAAGAAACCAACATTTTCAACACCCACCAACACCGTCAAATGGTTGTACCAGAGTTTTGAAGTCTTTAGACATCAAGTCTCTCTGCATGCGAATACAGGCTCCAGTGGGTTCAATTGGTGGGTCCAATGGTCAAGAAGATAGTTTCTGCAATGAGGCTCATTAACCTGGGAAGGTAGCCCATCTAGGAGAAGGAAAACATTGGCCTTAAACCTCTTCTGCCTTGCTGCTATTTGTGAGAAAGGCTTCAGCAGAAAACCCTGAGGAATAATCTCTATCTGCTGCCTTGCAGGACATCTTTAAGAGAAGAAAAGGCCAATGAGTAGACCCTACACAAATCCAATGTGGAGCCCCCAAGGCGGTTTGATGGCATCTTGTATGCCTCCTTCCAGCAACTCCTGCAACCAAGCTGGTTCCCAATGTACTGTTTTGCTTTCCTTTGGACTATGCCAGCGAGACTGAGAGGAGGGACTTGTCGTCTGAATGGGAAGACCACAGAAGCTTATGACACAATAAATCCGGTGGGATTCAAGGTGCCACCAGACTCTGCTATGTTTGCTTCAAGGGACAAACACAGCCAGCTTCCATCCTGAAACTTGCTGAGATGCTTCAAGATGCTTCAAAATGCTTTGCACATATGATCTCAGTAAGGCTTCCAGCAAGCTGATGGGCATTCCCATTCAAATGGTGTGTGTAGACTGCATCATGTGATTGATTATGCGGGGTGGGGCTTAACATGCCCCCCACAATACTTTATTCAAGTTGGCACCCCTATATCCCCACCTCCTCCTGGGAAGATGTAGCTGGTCTGGTAGGTTCCTCCTACTGTCCTAGGTCCTTTTGCTGCGTCTCCTTCTTCCCACCTGACCTCTGCTTCTTCCTTCCCAACTGGGAGACTTGGAACCACGTGAGGGGCCAGGGATTGGACCTGGGACCGTTTGTCAGCAGATGTGGTCCACTGCTCTTCAACTGGTGAGTGGGTTGCGGTCTGATCCAATGTGGGTTGCAACAGAAGCACTACCGCCTTGCTAACCTACGGTAAAAGGTTAAGAAAAGGTACCCATATGCATGTTTGGGTGAAAAGTGAGTGGGTCCTGGGTCTGAAAAAGACACCTGATCTAGCCAATGACTCTTCCTCAGATCAGAGATGGAAATGATATCTGGACTTGGATGGGTGACTTCATGGTATCATTGGTAAGCCTAGAAAAGGAGAACATGAGAACAGCCTGCAAGTATCAGGCCAGTGGGCCATCTAGTCTAGTATCCTGTTCTCAGAGTGGCTAGCCAGATGCCTATGTGACTCTTGCAAGCAGGACATGAGCAAAGTGGATTTGACCTCCCCAACAAAACAACATCCAGAAGGACTGTGGTGCACCTCTCCCTGTTATTGCCGTACCTGCTCCCACCAGCCAGTTCAGTTCTCCTGGGTACGCCTGTCCTTCTTTTCCCTTGGGCTCTTCCTCCTCAGTGCCCTTCACACCATCTCATTCTCATTGCCTGCGGGGGAGTCCTTGCAGCCAATTCATTGCCTTGCTTTGCTATTTTCTTTTTTAGTACTCTGAATTCTCCGCTGCTGGTTGCACAACCTTGTCCCGCCAATCCTCTGAGTGCCCCGGACACCTTGTCTCTTTCTCTCTCTGCCTCTCTTTCTCTCTCCCTCCCTCCGCAGCCCCCAGGCCCAGTGCAGCTCCACTGTTTTAATGTCTCACGCAATATGGTTTTCAGAGATGCTGGAAGGCAGCTCGCAGTCCCATTGGGGAGCCATTCCGGAAGATTCAGCCTAAATTTCCCCTTGCTTGATTCCACCTCATTGCTTCTGCCCCCAGGATCCTGCGACATTCCTTGCCGCAGTGGCAAAAGGGCAAAGGCAGGATTCATGGGGCCCACGGGAGAGGCTGTCTTCGATGCCCAGCTGCAGGGGCACAGCCAGCGCAGGAGAATGCAGCTCTTCTGCCCCACATCCATCGGTGTGCATTTTAGCTTTGTGCCATCTGTCAGGCGGGTGATTTGTATAGAATGAAAAATATAAGCCATGGCGAACTGTGGTGCTGGGCAGGAGGAGGAATGTGGTAGGGTCCGGCTGTACACCAAGGGAGATTGCACCACTGCACTCTCATAATGTGGGGTGTATGCAACTCCAGCAAATGCAAACAGAGGGAGTGACAATATATGCCAGGGCTCTTGCACCAGGAAAAGTCACATGGTGGTGTTGGCATAGGAACCACCTCCTAGGGGCCGAGGTCCCTTCAATGGGCGTTGCCATTGGAATGGTTCATGTGTGCCATGTCTTGTGATCGATTATGCAGCACAGGGCTTGCCTGCCTCTCAATATTTTATTCAAGTTGGCACCCCTGGCATGGGAGGTTTGTAAGCAGAAGTTGGATGGCCATCTGTCAGGGATGCTCTAGTTGTGATTTCTGGATTACAGGGGGTTGGACTAGGTCACCTGTGGGGTCACTTCCAACTCTACAATTCTATGGTTCCATGCATTGGGTGATGCCATTCAATGGCCTCCAATCATGTCCTATCCAATGTGACACCCTGCCCCCAGGGCAGCAGGCAGCCCTAAATGGGGTGTGCATATGGGCTGATTCCCACTCAGAATTGCCCTTCCCTGCTTCAGAGAGTCATCCCTGAGATCTACCTCCAGCATATTCGAGGTCTATGTGGCAGATTATACTGGCTTCAGGTCATTATCAGAAGAGTCATTGTTAGATGGGTCCAGGGACTGGCACAGGGAAGAAACATAGAGAATACAGGAAGGAAACAGATCAGGATCAGAACATTCCTTATACCAAGCCAAGCAATTTGTCTGTCTAGACCAGTATTGTATACTCTGATTGACAGTGGCTTGGACGCAATCTTTCCCATCACCAGTTGGCTGATGCTTTAACTGGAGATGTCATAGATTCAACCTGGGATCTTCTGCTGGCAAAGTACAGACCCCCTTCCCAACCATTACCCACACAGCCCCCTTAAGGCCTTTCGGTTTCCTTGGAGTCCTCTTTAATAGCATGCCCAAGATATTGTCGCAAGCTATCATAATGGGATTGCACAACTGGCATGCAGCACAGCTGGATGAATTGACCCTTGCTTGTGGAGCATATAGCTGAGAGTTTATCCTTTTCAGAAAGCCTCTCCTCCTTCCAGAGGGGAGGGATTGTGAGTGGGAGACGATTCCCGAGTCACACAGGGGGCATTCTGCCCCCTGCCCCCCCCATCATCACTGGCGCGCCACGCCTGCCAGTTGGGCACCCAATTGAGTGCTGCCGTGGGGGCAGGATTTAGCCGCTCAAATGCGGCTGCGCCAGTTCTCCCCGCCGTTGCGCATCAGATTTTGGACATCACGGGAGAGCTTATAGTTGTATTTGCATCAACAGGCTCCCCCTACTGGTGGTTAACCCCTCACCAGACTCACCCCTCTCCAAGTGGGTGGAGTCAAATTTGCTGTGGTCCAATGCCTAAGCCAATACCTTCTCACATGCTGTAATCAATAAATTTGTGGTCTTTTCTTGCCCATTAACCTAATATACTGTGTCCACGTGTTTTCATTCCCCAAGCGGGGATCGGGTCCTCGAATCACAAATCACCTCTTGCACAAAAATATGCACCTCTTTCAACCATGGCTGGAACTATTCTGCACAGAGCCATCCCCACAACAACTGGAAGTGGAGGTATCAACAATGGTTCTGAAGCAGCCAAGATGAAGAGGGTGGTGGGCCTTCTGACAATCATTTCCAGTTTGTGGTGGTGGTATGAGCTTTGGCAAGGCTTCACTTCTTGGCAGAAGATTATGGGGAACTACAACAGTGACATCAGTGTGTGTGTAGCCACCAGGGGGTAATAAATACAGGGCTTAGATGCCACAGGTGGAGGAGCACAGTGCATAAGAGTGATCTATGCTGGAACAAACCATCAAGGCCAACACACTTGCCTTTGATAGTGGCCAACCAGATGTGGCAAGCTTACAAAAAGAGCAAGAGATAGGTCAGTGCTGAGGAACATGTCGCCCTCCAGATGTCAGTGGAGCACAACTCTGTCATGCCTGACCATTGGCCACCTTGGTTGAGAGTTGGAGCCTGATGACATCTGCAGGGTCACAGGTTCCCCAGTCCTGCTACATAGGTTAGCCAACATTGTGCCCTCTTGTTGGACTTCAACTCCCATCAGCCCTAGCCATTATGGCCAATGGTCAGGGATGATAGAGTTGTAGTCCATTGACATCTGGTGTGGGCTACATTGGCTTCCCCTGCATTGGTTTCTAGAGCACTGGCTTGAAAACTTCTTGGTTACGACACATCTGTGGGCAAGGATTTTTTCAGCCAGAACTTGCCAGCACCTCTCATGTGGGCACCATTGCCATTATAAGAGAAAAAGCACTGTCTGTGGGGAGAAGATGAAGGAGGAATAAGAACTTAAATGTTGTCTTTCCCACTTCTCACTTCTCTTCCACTCAGAATGCCTTGCATCAAGAGTCAGGTTTCAGGTTCCTGAACCCATATAAACACTTTACAGCTGAACTAAAATCTTGGACAGTCCTTATTTTTTCTTTAAAATGTCATAAAATAGCACAGGGTCTTCCCATATCTTCTAACAGTGTATCTGGGGTTGTACAAGTAAGGATTCCAATTATAGTCCCGGGTGGTGGTTGTTTTAATCAAAAACAAATAAAAACACAACATAATTATAGGGTTGCCAGAGCAAAAAAGTTGACAGCCCGAGCCGCTGCCAGCCCAAGCTGAGGAAAGTGCACAAGCACATGGGGCTGCTGCCGCACCTATGCGCCTCTTTTCCTGACTCAGGCTGGCAGTGGCTGCGGTGCACAGAGCAGCCTGAGCCCAAACCCGAGAAACCTGGACATTTCCTTTAAAATGTAAAAATCCGTCTGAATGGGCATGTGGCCGCTCCAAAAGAGGACATGTTCAGGTTTTCCCAGATGTATGGCAACCCTAATTTTGCAGCAAGGTTATCCAGATTCTGAAATCTGTAATTTTTAGAACAGTATTTACAGCCATACCTTGGTTGACGAACGCCTTGCAAATTGAGCGTTTTGGTTCCTGAACGCCGCAAACAAGGAAATGAGTGTTACGGTTTGCGAACGTTCTTTGGAACTCTAACATCTGGCGCAGCTTCCGATTGGCTGCAGGAACTTCCTGCAGCCAATCGGAAGCCGTGCCTTTGTTTCCGAACGTTCTGGAAGTCAAATGGACTTCTGGAACGGATTCCATTTGGCTTCCAAGGTACGACTGTATGTCCTGCTGTATGCAGTTCCTCATGTCCTAGCTTTGGCAATGATTTTTACAGCCATGTTGGCTAGAAACACAGAACAAAAATTGCTCCCAGTTAAAATGTCACCTTTTTTTAGAATGTTAAAGGAAACAGGAGACATTTCATGAGGGCAGAGTATGGGCCACACCCTGGCAACTTGTGTACAGAAACTTGAACACCAAGCCCTTCAAATTTGGCATACTTGAGATCTTTCTGCACCCCTTCCAATGTAAAACAAAAACAAATTCTCTTTATACATGAGGACTTCATCACCCAACCATACTGAGAAAGAATACAGTGGTGCCCCGCAAGATGAATGCCTCGCAAGACGAAAAACTCGCTAGACGAAAGGGTTTTGCATTTTTTGAGCTGCTTCGCAAGACGAATTTCCCTATGGGCTTGCTTCGCAAGATGAAAACGTCTTGCAAGTTTGTTTCCTTTTTCTTAAAACCGTTACAGTAATACAGGGTGCATTGCTTGAAGAGGTGCAGTTGCGACTTGACTTCGAGGAGCAACTCATAGCACGTGGTGTGGTAGCCTTTTTTGAGGTTTTTGAAGACTTTGGTGATTTTTGAAGCTTTTCCAAAACTTCTTTTGCAGCCATTTGGTAAGTTAAACTTTTAAAACTTTTTTGGGGGGTTTTGGATTTTGGGTTGGGGTGTTTGGAATTCAAGGACTTGGTGTTGGGGAAGGGTTTGCAAGAATCTGGAAGCTTGTGTGTTTTTTTTCCTGCATTTTTATGATTTTTTGTGACCATTGGGCCACTCTGCTGGTTTTTTTTTTTTTTAATCTGGGTTTGAATTTCTGTGTGGTGGGTGGCTGGGGGAACAGTTGAGGAGGGGTTTGCAAGAATATGGAAGCTTGTTTGGTTTTTTTCTGAATTTTTATTATTTTCTGTGACCATTGGGCCACTCTGCTGTTTTTTTAAAAAAATTCTGGATTTGAATTTCTGTGTGGTGGGTGGCTGGGGGAACAGTTGAGGAGGGGGTTCTTCAGCAAGAAGCAAAGAGTGGAAGAGGAACCTAAATTGAGTTGTCCCCCAGAGTCTTAGAAAATGTACTGTACACTTTGTTGATTTTTGAATGTTTTTCTGTCATGTTTAGAAACTTAATTTATTGTTCCTTCAATTTTTGAAATGCTCTTTACAGTATGTGTGACTTTAAAGAACACTTAATAAACTCTTGTTGTACCAAATTTGGCTTTGTTTGGACTTTTTTTGACCATAGGAACACATTAATTGAATTTCAATGCATTCCTATGAGATTTCGTGCTTTGCAAGACGAAAAATTCGCTAGACGAAAAAACTCACGGAACGAATTAATTTCATCTTGCGAGGCACCACTGTATAGCATTTTTGAAATGTGTTAAATGCATTGTTTGAATCAATAAATATGCACATATCCCAGATCTACACAAGAAGGCCAGAATATAGCCTTCACAGGGGACAGTACCAATTTTAAAAATTACATTATTAATCTGTGCTAAAATTAATTGGTTCATCATCATTCTGATGAATTACTTGGGAACCTTCTGAAGAACTAGCTAGCGCTCTCAGCTGGGGGTTGAGTATGAACAGGACTGCATAAGTAGCAGAGCACAATTTATCTATGTGGGTTGTTTGAAGCCCATGAGTGTGTCCATTACATGAAGCGATCTCATGGGTTGGGTGTGTGTTTTGCATGGTAGAAAGACCAGGAGATATTTATAGACACATCAGTCTGAGTGGCATATTCTGATACATGCAGCATTATCATCAATATATGGACTGCAATACCTCAAGGACTGCCCCATCCCATATAAACTGTCTTGGACTCTGTGTTCATCATCTGAGGCCCTTTTTGTGTGCATCCTCTATGTGAGGTCCAGAGAACGGGACCTTTTCTGTGGTGGCTCCCCATTTTTGAAATGCTCTTCCCAGAGAGGTTTGGCCAAGGCTTGGGGTGATTAATATTTTGCAGTCTTTTAAATGTGTTTTTGGGGGGCTGTTGTTTTGTTTTAGCTATTTGTGTTTTTAGCTTGTGAACCACCCCGATATATTTTCATGAAGGGTGGTATATAAATTGAATAAATAATTTATCTTATATGTCTGCATTTTCCTGGAGGTAGTGTTTGCACCAGAAACATGCTGTTTTATGGTGTGCGCTTACACCAGCCCTCCTGATGCTGGTGTGCTACAACTCACAGCATACCTGACCATTGGGCCTGCTTGCTGGGACCAATGAGACTTTGAGTCAACAGCATCCGGGTGGCCACAGGTTCCCTAGCCCAGGTCTACAGCAGCCAGGCGAATTTCTCAGTTCCAATACAGTGGTACCTCAGGTTACATATGCTTCAGGTTACATACGCTTCAGGTCACAGACGCTTCAGGTTACAGACTCCGCTAACCCAGAAATAGTACTTCAGGCTAAGAACTTTGCTTCAGGAAGAGAACAGAAATCGTGCAGCGGCAGAGGGAGGCCCCATTAGCTAAAGTGGTGCTTCAGTTTAAGAACAGTTTCAGGTTAAGAATGGACCTCCGGAACGAATTAAGTACTTAACCCGAGGTAACACTGTACTTCAACAACACTAAGCAAACCATATATCATTTGTTCATTCCTTAAAGCCTG